TGAGGGTTAAAATATGTTAAATATTTGTAATCCTTTTTATTTATTCTATTACGTGTTTCTGAGAAATGCGAGACCTTTTATAACATGCAGGTCCTTAACTAAAATATTTATAAAAAGGACTACAAAATATACTTTTGATGTTTCCAGATAAACTCTTGCAAAGCAATAACAAATAGCAAATATGAAATGTTAGATTAAAGACAATATTCAAAAAGGGTTACTTGTTTGTTAACAAACTAAATTCTGAGCTAAACTATGAACTTGGTAATATAATAGGTTATAAAGCAGACCAAGAAGAGAACAAGAAAGAGGCAATGAAGTAAACTTGTTCACTACTATAAAGTAGACTGTGCACTAGAAAAAAATTTGGCCTCAGACAAGACTATTAATTAAACTATTAACTTGATTATTAATTCACTACCAACTAGACTATGAATCATATTATAAATTAAAATATGAAGTAGGATATGATTAAGAATACGAACTCAACTACAAAGTAGACTATGAACTAGACTACAAATTATGCTAGGGACTAGACTATGACTAGACTATGACTAGACTATGACTGGACTATGACTAGACTATAGACTAGACTATAGACTAGACTATAGACTAGACTATAGACTAGACTATAGACTAGACTATAGACTAGACTATAGACTAGACTATAGACTAGACTATAGACTAGACTATAGACTAACTAGACTAGACTATACTAGACTAGACTATAGACTAGACTATAGACTAGACTATAGACTAGACTATAGACTAGACTATAGACTAGACTATAGACTAGACTATAGACTAGACTATAGACTAGACTATAGACTAGACTATAGACTAGACTATAGACTAGACTATAGACTAGACTATAGACTAGACTATAGACTAGACTATAGACTAGACTATAGACTAGACTATAGACTAGACTATAGACTAGACTATAGACTAGACTATAGACTAGACTATAGACTAGACTATAGACTAGACTATAGACTAGACTATAGACTAGACATAGACTATAGACTAGACTATAGACTAGACTATAGACTAGACTATAGACTAGACTATAGACTAGACTATAGACTAGACTATAGACTAGACTATAGACGACTATAGACTAGACTATGACTAGACTATAGACTAGACTATAGACTAGACTATAGACTAGACTATAGACTAGACTATAGACTAGACTATAGACTAGACATATAGACTATAGACGACTAGACTAGACTAGACTAGACTAGAGACTAGACTATAGACTAGACTATAGACTAGACTATAGACTAGACTATAGACTAGACTATAGACTAGACTATAGACTAGACTATAGACTAGACTATAGACTAGACTATAGACTAGACTATAGACTAGACTATAGACTAGACTATAGACTAGACTATAGACTAGACTATAGACTAGACTATAGACTAGACTATAGACTAGACTATAGACTAGACTATAGATAGACTATAGACTAGACTATAGACTAGACTATAGACTAGACTAGACTATAGACTAGACTATAGACTAGACTATAGACTACCATAGACTAGACATAGAATAGACTATAGAGTAGACTATAGACTACACCATAGACTAGACCATAGAATGACTATAGAGTAGACTATAGACTACACCATAGACTAGACCATAGAATAGACTATAGAGTAGACTATAGACTAGACTATAGACTAGACTATAGACTAGACTATAGACTAGACTATAGACTAGACTATAGACTAGACTATAGACTAGACTATAGACTAGACTATAGACTAGACTATAGACTAGACTATAGACTAGACTATAGACTAGACTATAGACTAGACTATAGACTAGACTATAGACTAGACTATAGACTAGACTATAGACTAGACTATAGACTAGACTATAGACTAGACTATAGACTAGACTATAGACTAGACTATAGACTAGACTATAGACTAGACTATAGACTAGACTATAGACTAGACTATAGACTAGACTATAGACTAGACTATAGACTAGACTATAGACTAGACTATAGACTAGACTATAGACTAGACTATAGACTAGACTATAGACTAGACTATAGACTAGACTATAGACTAGACTATAGACTAGACTATAGACTAGACTATAGACTAGACTATAGACTAGACTATAGACTAGACTATAGACTAGACTATAGACTAGACTATAGACTAGACTATAGACTAGACTATAGACTAGACTATAGACTAGACTATAGACTAGACTATAGACTAGACTATAGACTAGACTATAGACTAGACTATAGACTAGACTATAGACTAGACTATAGACTAGACTATAGACTAGACTATAGACTAGACTATAGACTAGACTATAGACTAGACTATAGACTAGACTATAGACTAGACTATAGACTAGACTATAGACTAGACTATAGACTAGACTATAGACTAGACTATAGACTAGACTATAGACTAGACTATAGACTAGACTATGACTAGACTATAGACTAGACTATAGACTAGACTATAGACTAGACTATAGACTAGACTATAGACTAGACTATAGACTAGACTATAGACTAGACTATAGACTAGACTATAGACTAGACTATAGACTAGACTATAGACTAGACTATAGACTAGACTATAGACTAGACTATAGACTAGACTATAGACTAGACTATAGACTAGACTATAGACTATACTATAGACTAGACTATAGACTAGACTATAGACTAGACTATAGACTAGACTATAGACTAGACTATAGACTAGACTATAGACTAGACTATAGACTAGACTATAGACTAGACTAGACTATAGACTAGACTATAGACTAGACTATAGACTACTATAGACTAGACTAGACTATAGACTAGACTATAGACTAGACTATAGACTACACCATAGACTAGACCATAGAATAGACTATAGAGTAGACTATAGACTAGACTATAGACTAGACTATAGACTAGACTATAGACTAGACTATAGACTAGACTATAGACTAGACTATAGACTAGACTATAGACTAGACTATAGACTAGACTATAGACTAGACTATAGACTAGACTATAGACTAGACTATAGACTAGACTATAGACTAACTATAGACTAGACTATAGACTAGACTATAGACTAGACTATAGACTAGACTATAGACTAGACTATAGACTAGACTATAGACTAGACTATAGACTAGACTATAGACTAGACTATAGACTAGACTATAGACTAGACTATAGACTAGACTATAGACTAGACTATAGACTAGACTATAGACTAGACTATAGACTAGACTATAGACTAGACTATAGACTAGACTATAGACTAGACTATAGACTAGACTATAGACTAGACTATAGACTAGACTATAGACTAGACTATAGACTAGACTATAGACTAGACTATAGACTAGACTATAGACTAGACTATAGACTAGACTATAGACTAGACTATAGACTAGACTATAGACTAGACTATAGACTAGACTATAGACTAGACTATAGACTAGACTATAGACTAGACTATAGACTAGACTATAGACTAGACTATAGACTAGACTATAGATTAGACTATAGACTAGACCATAGACTAGACCATAGACTAGACCATAGACTAGACCATAGACTAGACTATAGACTAGACTATAGACTAGACCATATACTAGACCATAGACTAGACTATAGACTAGACTATAGACTAGACTATAGACTAGAGTATAGACTAGACTATAGACTAGACTATAGACTAGACCATAGACTAGACTATAGACTAGACTATAGACTAGACTATAGACTAGACTATAGACTAGACTAGACTATAGACTAGACTATAGACTAGACTATAGACTAGACCATAGACTAGACTATAGACTAGACTATAGACTAGACTATAGACTAGACTATAGACTAGACTATAGACTAGACCATAGACTAGACCATAGACTAGACTATAGACTAGACTATAGACTAGACTATAGACTAGACTATAGACTAGACTATAGACTAGACTATAGACTAGACTATAGACTAGACTATAGACTAGACTATAGACTAGACTATAGACTAGACTATAGACTAGACTATAGACTAGACTATAGACTAGACTATAGACTAGACTATAGACTAGACTATAGACTAGACTATAGACTAGACTATAGACTAGACTATAGACTAGACTATAGACTAGACTATAGACTAGACTATAGACTAGACTATAGACTAGACTATAGACTAGACTATAGACTAGACTATAGACTAGACTATAGACTAGACTATAGACTAGACTATAGACTAGACTATAGACTAGACTATAGACTAGACTATAGACTAGACTATAGACTAGACTATAGACTAGACTATAGACTAGACTATAGACTAGACTATAGACTAGACTATAGACTAGACTATAGACTAGACTATAGACTAGACTATAGACTAGACTATAGACTAGACTATAGACTAGACTATAGACTAGACTATAGACTAGACTATAGACTAGACTATAGACTAGACTATAGACTAGACTATAGACTAGACTATAGACTAGACTATAGACTAGACTATAGACTAGACTATAGACTAGACTATAGACTAGACTATAGACTAGACTATAGACTAGACTATAGACTAGACTATATACTAGACTATAGACTAGACTATAGACTAGACTATAGACTAGACTATAGACTAGACTATAGACTAGACTATAGACTAGACTATAGACTAGACTATAGACTAGACTATAGACTAGACTATAGACTAGACTATAGACTAGACTATAGACTAGACTATAGACTAGACTATAGACTAGACTATAGACTAGACTATAGACTAGACTATAGACTAGACTATAGACTAGACTATAGACTAGACTATAGACTAGACTATAGACTAGACTATAGACTAGACTATAGACTAGACTATAGACTAGACTATAGACTAGACTACGTTGTTTATCTTATCTTTGTGACCCATTTCAAATTCAATTTAAAATTTTAATTTATAAAACACTTACCCTAATTTTCCTGACAGTCTTCTTGCTATCATTACGAATATTAATGGAAACACAAACATCTTCTCCATGGGTATACCAGGCTTTGTCTAAACTGGCCTTTAAGCCTACACGACCATCTTGCAGTAAAAACGGTTTATCCACGGCACCCTGGGGACCAGCACAGGCAACGGGACAAACATTATCATACTGAAGGAAATAAACACGAAAATAATTTTTCAAGATTAGAGGGAGAGAAGTTGAAGAATGAATAGAATGACTGTCAGTTCTGCCTAATCATAGAATGAATAGTCTTTTATAAGAATTTAGAAATAAGATTTTAAATTCTTTACCTCTTGAAATGATTTACTATAATTATAGAACGCATCACTTGAGCACTTGTCCACCTCACTTTTACTGCGTCCAAAGCGACCACTAAAGCGAAAAGATTTCGGCGATAAGCGTAGCTTAGGAAAAGAATCTCCGCGCTCCGATTTACGCACAGATTTAGCAGCCGGCCGCGAGGCATCGCCAGTAGCAGTTGCAGTTTCTGGATTAGCGGCTTCATTTTGCTCATGGGTTTGAGGAGATGCTGCACTGGATTCCGTAGTTTGTGTACATATGGGTGGTGTAGTGGTAGTATTAGTATTTGTGCAGGCCAAGGTGACGGGCGGCGAAGAGACAGGGTTATTGATAAGTGCAGCAAAATTCTCAGGTCCATTCAGGCCATGATGAAAAACATCTGTGCGATAAATAACACGAACACCCATTTTCACTGAAGCACGACGATGGAATTTTTCATCGGTTTTGTCGGCTGGAAAGGAGGGAATCAGAAAGTGGTATTTGTATACATAAGCGGATCAAATTCTTGTCTCTAACCTGCATATTTTGGGGAAGTTCTTATTCAACTTACCTATGAAGCAGCGCACATCATAGCTGGTACCTATTGGAGCTCCATAGTATCGCTTTGCAGGTACTAGCTGCACGCTAGGTGGTGCTTGTGATGTTAAAGTTAGTGTAAAAGGATGAGCTCCTTCTCCCAAACGCTTTAGTAAGGCTTCCTGAAATATATAATAATATACAAGGGTTTTAGTTAGAGTTATGTTTCAGTTCTGTTATATTTCAGTTATAGTTCTGCTCAAGTTCTGCTCTAGTTCTGTTCTAGTTCTGTTCTAGTTCTGTTCTAGTTCTGTTCTAGTTCTGTTCTAGTTCTGTCTAGTCTGTTCTAGTTCTGTTCTAGTTCTGTTCTAGTTCTGTTCTAGTTCTGTTCTAGTTCTGTTCTAGTTCTGTTCTAGTTCTGTTCTAGTTCTGTTCTAGTTCTGTTCTAGTTCTGTTCTAGTTCTGTTCTAGTTCTGTTCTAGTTCTGTTCTAGTTCTGTTCTAGTTCTGTTCTAGTTCTGTTCTAGTTCTGTTCTAGTTCTGTTCTAGTTCTGTTCTAGTTCTGTTCTAGTTCTGTTCTAGTTCTGTTCTAGTTCTGTTCTAGTTCTGTTCTAGTTCTGTTCTAGTTCTGTTCTAGTTCTGTTCTAGTTCTGTTCTAGTTCTGTTCTAGTTCTGTTCTAGTTCTGTTCTAGTTCTGTTCTAGTTCTGTTCTAGTTCTGTTCTAGTTCTGTTCTAGTTCTGTTCTAGTTCTGTTCTAGTTCTGTTCTAGTTCTGTTCTAGTTCTGTTCTAGTTCTGTTCTAGTTCTGTTCTAGTTCTGTTCTAGTTCTGTTCTAGTTCTGTTCTAGTTCTGTTCTAGTTCTGTTCTAGTCTGTTCTAGTTCCGTTCTAGTTCCGTTCTAGTTCCGTTCTAGTTCCGTTCTAGTTCCGTTCTAGTTCTGTTCTAGTTCTGTTCTAGTTCTGTTCTAGTTCTGTTCTAATTCTGTTCTAGTTCTGTTCTAGTTCTGTTCTAGTTCTGTTCTAGTTCTGTTCTAGTTCTGTTCTAGTTCTGTTCTAGTTCTGTTCTAGTTCTGTTCTAGTTCTGTTCTAGTTCTGTTCTAGTTCTGTTCTAGTTCTGTTCTAGTTCTGTTCTAGTTCTGTTCTAGTTCCTGTTCTAGTTCCGTTCTAGTTCCGTTCTAGTTCCGTTCTAGTTCCGTTCTAGTTCCGTTCTAGTTCTGTTCTAGTTCTGTTCTAGTTCTGTTCTAGTTCTGTTCTAGTTCTGTTCTAGTTCTGTTCTAGTTCTGTTCTAGTTCTGTTCTAGTTCCGTTCTAGTTCCGTTCTAGTTCAGTTCTAGTTCAGTTCTAGTTCAGTTCTAGTTCAGTTCTAGTTCAGTTCTAGTTCAGTTCTAGTTCAGTTCTAGTTCAGTTCTAGTTCAGTTCTAGTTCAGTTCTAGTTCAGTTCTAGTTCAGTTCTAGTTCAGTTCTAGTTCAGTTCTAGTTCAGTTCTAGTTCAGTTCTAGTTCAGTTCTAGTTCAGTTCTAGTTCAGTTCTAGTTCAGTTCTAGTTCAGTTCTAGTTCAGTTCTAGTTCAGTTCTAGTTCAGTTCTAGTTCAGTTCTAGTTCAGTTCTAGTTCAGTTCTAGTTCAGTTCTAGTTCAGTTCTAGTTCAGTTCTAGTTCAGTTCTAGTTCAGTTCTAGTTCAGTTCTAGTTCAGTTCTAGTTCAGTTCTAGTTCAGTTCTAGTTCAGTTCTAGTTCAGTTCTAGTTCAGTTCTAGTTCAGTTCTAGTTCAGTTCTAGTTCAGTTCTAGTTCTGTTCTAGTTCTGTTCTAGTTCTGTTCTAGTTCTGTTCTAGTTCTGTTTAGTTCTGTTCTAGTTCCGTTCTAGTTCCGTTCTAGTTCCGTTCTAGTTCCGTTCTAGTTCCGTTCTAGTTCCGTTCTAGTTCCGTTCTAGTTCTGTTCTAGTTCTGTTCTAGTTCTGTTCTAGTTCTGTTCTAGTTCTGTTCTAGTTCTGTTCTAGTTCTGTTCTAGTTCTGTTCTAGTTCTGTTCTAGTTCAGTTCTAGTTCAGTTCTAGTTCAGTTCTAGTTCAGTTCTAGTTCAGTTCTAGTTCTGTTCTAGTTCTGTTCTAGTTCTGTTCTAGTTCTGTTCTAGTTCTGTTCTAGTTCTGTTCTAGTTGTTCTAGTTCTGTTCTAGTTCTGTTCTAGTTCTGTTCTAGTTCTGTTCTAGTTCTGTTCTAGTTCTGTTCTAGTTCTGTTCTAGTTCTGTTCTAGTTCTGTTCTAGTTCTGTTCTAGTTCTGTTCTAGTTCTGTTCTGGTTCTGTTCTAGTTCTGTTCTGGTTCTGTTCTAGTTCTAGTTCTGTTCTAGTTCTGTTCTAGTTCAGTTCTAGTGCAGTTCTAGTTCAGTTCTAGTTCAGTTCTAGTTCAGTCCTAGTTCAGTTCTAGTTCAGTTCTAGTTCTGTTCTAGTTCAGTTCTAATTCAGTTCTAGTTCTGTTCTAGTTCAGTTCTAGTTCAGTTCCACTTTAATTCTAGTTCAGAAGTAGTTCTCTATTTACACTTTATTTCCTCATATCACATTTTATCATTTAATCCTCTTATACACTTTATTTAACAAAAATCTGCCAATTATGTTTTTCCTAAAAGAGTGTGTTTTAATTGGATTAATTCTTTATCTTTTTGGGCTTGTGGTAATAATTTGGGCTATACTTTTTGTCGTCCATCGCCTAAGCTTGTTAAAAATGGAAAGGGAGGTTGAAGAAAAAAAACCATGTTTTACATATGAATACAGATGCGTGTGGCATAAATTAGAAACTGAAAACCAAATAGAAATTTGTTTGCTATTATTTGCATATATGCAAATAATATTTTCAAAAGATTTTAAAAGGCTTTGGTTTCCAAAAAATAAAAATAAAATACAGCAGTTTGCTTAAAAGGGATTTAAAAGAGACTAATTGGGATGTAGGAAATAATATAAAGCATATGTTTGCTTGGTAATTGTGTACGGGCATGACATTAAACGGAACCTATACAAACTGTTGGTTATTTTTGGAGATTGAAATATAGTTTTGTGTTAAGGAAATTTTAAATAATTGTATTTATTGGATTTAATATTTGCTCACCTGCAGAGGACTTAACGATTCTTTAGCGGGCTCCTCCTTCCTGGGCCATATTTGATGTAACGACATAATAGCTTCATTACAGAAACGTAAACCCATGACTTCTTCATCTTCACGACCATAACTAGAAAACAAAATAAATACAACTCATCTTAAGTTAATCACTTATTACTTAATCATTTTTTACAGCTAAATATAAACATTAATTTATGTGTTTTCTTAAAGAAATATATTCAGTCAGGTGTAAGAAAATGCCCTAAAATACAAAATAACTTATATCTATGTTAAATCGTGTGTTAAATTCGAAATTGTTCATTGTGTATTCAAGCGTGAAGTAAGTAATTTCTTCTTAAGTTAAATTATTGATTTGTTTTTCATTATTGAAGTATTAATTAATTAACTAAGGCAGCAGACAACGTAATCAGTACATACTTTATGTTCTTAACTTTTTCAGATTTATTTAATGAATTTTACATAATTTTTACATAGTTCACAGTTCATGACAGTCTTGTTGATAGTCTAGTTAAAAATCAAGTTGATATTCTAGTTATTAGTCTAAGTGATAGTCTAGGTGATAGTCTTGATGACAGTTAAGTTGATAATCTAGTTGATAGTCTAGTTAATAGTCTAGTTCATAGTCTAGGTGATAGTCTAGGTGATAGACTAGTTGATAGTCTAGTTAATAGCTTAGTTGATAGTCTAGGTGATAGTCTAGCCGATTGTCTAGTTGATAGTCTAGTTGATAGTCTAGATGACAGTTTAGTTGATAGTCTAGGTGATAGTGTAGGTGATTGTCGAGTTGATAGTCAAGTTGATAGTCTAGTTGATAGTCTAGTTGATAGTCTAGTTGATAGTCTAGTTGATAGTCCAGTTAATAGTCTAGTTGAAGTCAAGTTGATAGACTAGTTGATAGTCTAGTTGATAGTCTGGCTGATAGTCTAGTTAAAAGTCTAGTTGATGGTCTAGGTAATAGTCTAGTTGATAGTCTAATTGATAGTCTAGTTAATAGTCTAGTTGATAGTCTAGGTGATAGTCTAGTTTATAGTCTACTTGATAGCCTAGTTGGTTTTCTAGTTAATAATATAGGTGATAGTCTAGTTAATAGTCTAGTTGATAGTCTAGTTATTAGTCTAAGTGATAGTCTGGTTGATAGTCTAGTTAAAAGTCTAGTTGATAGTCTAGGTGATAGTCTTGATGACAGTTTAGTTGATAATCTAGTTGATGGTCTAGTTGGTAGTCAAGGTGATAGTCTAGTTGATAGTATAGTTTATAGTCTAGTTGACAGTCTAGTTGATAGTATAGTTAATAGTATAGTTGATAGTCTGGTTGATAGTCTAGTTGAAAGTCTAAGTGATAGTCTAGTTGATAGTCAGGGTGATGGTCTAGTTAATAGTCTAGTTGAATGTCTAGTTGATAGTCTAGTTGATAGTCTAGTTGATAGTCTAGTTGATAGTCTAGTTGATAGTCTAGTTGATAGTCTAGTTGATAGTGTGGTTGATAGTCTAGTTGATAGTCTAGTTGATAGTCTAGTTGATAGCCTAGTTGATAGTCTAGTTGATAGTCTAGTTGATAGTCTAGTTGATAAGTCTAGTTGATAGTCTACTTGATAGTCTAGTTGATAGTCTACTTGATAGTCTAGTCATAGGCTAGTAATAGTCTAGTCATAGTCTAGTCATAGTCTAGTCATAGTCTAGTCATAGTCTGGGCCATAGTCTAGTCATAGTCTAGTCATAGTCTAGTCATAGTCTAGTCATAGTCATAGTCCATAGTCTAGTCTAGTCGAGTCATAGTCTAGTCATAGTCTAGTCATAGTCTAGTCATAGTCTAGTCATAGTCTGAGTCATAGTCTAGTCATAGTCTAGTCATAGTCTAGTCATAGTCTAGTCATAGTCCTAGTATAGTCTATAGTCTAGTCATAGTCATAGTCTAGTCATAGTCTAGTCATAGTCTAGTCATAGTCTAGTCATAGTCCTATCATAGTTCTAGTCATAGTCTAGTCATAGTCTAGTCTAGTCTAGTCATAGTCTAGTCATAGTCTAGTCATAGTCTAGTCATGTCTAGTCATAGTCTAGTCCATAGTCTAGTCATAGTCTAGTCATAGTCTAGTCATAGTCTAGTCCTAGTCTAGTCATAGTCTAGTCATAGTCCTAGTCCATAGTCCTAGTCATAGTCTAGTCCATAGTCTATTCATGTCTAGTCATAGTCCTAGTCATAGTCTAGTCCATAGTCCTAGTCATAGTCTAGTCATAGTCTAGTCATTAGTCTAGTCATAGTCTAGTCTATAGTCTAGTCATAGTCTAGTCATAGTCTAGGTAATAGTCTAGTCATAGTCTAGTCATAGTCTAGTCATAGTCTTAGTCATAGTCTAGTCATAGTCTAGTCATAGTCTAGTCATTAGTCTAGTTGATAGTCTCGTCTTTAGTCTAGTTGAATAGTCTACGTTCATAGTCCTAGGTCATAGTCCTAGTCATAGTCTAGTCATAGTCCTAGTCCATAGGTCCTAGTCATAGTCTCGTCATAGTCTAGTCATAGTCCTAGTCATAGTCTAGTCAGTAGTCTAGTCATAGTCTAGTCATAGTCTAGTCATAGTCTAGTTCATAGTCTAGTCATAGTTCTAGTCATAGTCTCAGTCCTTCATAGTCTAGTCATAGTCTAGTCATAGTCTGTCCATAGTCTAGTCATAGTCAGTCTGATAGTCCTAGTCATAGTCTAGTCATAGTCTAGTGCATGTCTAGTCATAGTCTAGTCATAGTCTAGTCATAGTCTAGTCATAGTCTAGTCATAGTCCTAGTCATAGTCTAGTCATAGTCTAGTCATAGTCTAGTCATATCTAGTCCTAGGTAGTCTAGCTAGTCATAGTCAGTCATAGTCTAGTCCATAGCTAGTCATAGTCTAGTCATAGTCTAGGTCATAGTCTAGTCATGTAGTCATAGTCTAGTCATAGTCTAGTCATAGTCTAGTCATAGTCCTAGTCATAGTCTAGTCCTAGTCTAGTCATAGTCTGTCATAGTCTAGTCATAGTCTAGTCATAGTCTAGTTCATAGTCCTAGTCATAGTCTAGTCATAGTATCATAGTCTAGTAAGTCTAGTCATAGTCATAGTCATAGTCTAGTCGATAGTCTAGTCATAGTCTCAGTTGATAGTCTAGTCATAGTCTAGTCATAGTCTAGTAGTCTAGTTCATAGGTCTAGTCATAGTTAGTCATAGTCTAGTCATAGTCTAGTCATAGTCTAGTCATAGTCTAGTCATAGTCTAGTCATAGTCTAGTCATAGTCTAGTCATAGTCTAGTCATAGTCTAGTCATCGTCTAGTCTAGTCATAGTCTAGTCATTAGTCTGTCATAGTCTAGTCATAGTCTAGTCATAGTCTAGTCATAGTCTAGTCATAGTCTAGTCATAGTCTAGTCATAGTCTAGTCTAGTCTAGTCATAGTCTAGTCATAGTCTAGTCATAGTCTAGTCATAGTCTAGTCATAGTCTAGTCATAGTCTAGTCATAGTCTAGTCATAGTCTAGTCAAGTCTAGTCATAGTCTAGTCATAGTCTAGTCATAGCTAGTCATAGTCTAGTCATAGTCTAGTCATAGTCTAGTCATAGTCTAGTCATAGTCTAGTCATAGTCTAGTCATAGTCTAGTCATAGTCTAGTCATAGTCTAGTATAGTCTAGCTAGTATAGTCAGTCTAGTCATCGTCTAGTATAGTTAGTCATAGTCTAGTCATAGTCTAGTCATAGTCTAGTCATAGTCTAGTCATAGTCTAGTCATAGTCTAGTCATAGTCTAGTCATAGTCTAGTCATAGTCTAGTCATAGTCTAGTCATAGTCTAGTCATAGTCTAGCATAGTCTAGTCATAGTCTAGTCATAGTCTAGTCATAGTCTAGTCATAGTCTAGTCAAATCTAGTCATATTTCAAAAATTGTCTTTTACTTACCGAAAAACGTTAAGGTCAATTGTGCATAAACCCGATATCCTTGTATAGCCTTGGGATCAACAAACACAATACCTTGTAGGATGGAGGAGCTATTGCCGGACAAGGTAATTTCAGTGTTGGCAAATACAAAGTTAAAACACAGTTCGGTGAGTTTCTTATAAACACGTTGAGTGCCATAATCATCTTATGGGTCGGACATCTAAAAAGTGATAAAAAGGGTGGAATTAAAAAGAAATCTTATCAAAGAAAGTAAAGGTATTTGTTGTCTGATTGGGTCTTCTAAAGTAAATTGTTTTAAAAAGGATATTTTATCATTATCCATTCAAATCTATATTTTTTTGTTCTTTTTTTTTAATTTCATAATTTTTGACATATTTTTCTGCTTTCATATTTCGAACACCAACCCTAACATGAGGCGATCCATCATGTACCAAAATGCATTTTATGATTTCATCACCATAATCTGCTTTTGTATATTTAGTGTCCTGATTGATGCATTCAGTGGCCCTAAAGTGTTGCAAAAATAAAACAAAACCAACAAAAATGTCTGCTTGCCTGACTTCATGTTAGACATTTTTGCTGGAAAATAGCAGAAAATTTATGTGGAAAATTTTTGTTAATTACATTCTTCTGAGCAAAAAATAAAATTGTTAAAGTGACTGAAATATGGATGAAAATAGCAGGATACCATAGATAATTTTCGAATTTTTAAAGGGAAAGTAATGAAATCATTAACGTTGCTTACTAGAAGGACACATCATCCGTTAAAGTCACATATTGTAGTAAAACTTTCCTGTTAGTTACATTACTAATAATTGAAAAAAACATTTAATATATGAAATTTTTCCATTTGTATTAGAAAGGATATTTGAAAGGATTATCAAAATGTAATATATATATATATATATATATATATATATATATATATATATATATATATATATATATATATATATATATATATATATATATATATATATATATTGATTTTTTTAAAGTAATTTCTGCTATTTTAAAATAGGAAATATGTTTCTATTAAAAGTGTTTTAAACAATATGCTTACGAGTATGTATTTTTTGTGTGTTTTATTTATAAATCAATCAATAGTTCGAAGTATTTGTATAAATATTTAGTATTTTTTGTGACACTTTTTCTCTTGGATGCCGTATACAGAATCGCTACAGAAATGCATATTTCTGCCAAAAAACAAAAACAAAACAAGAGTAGAAAACGTAAATTCAAAATTATACAACTAGGAATAAAAAGTTCAAGGATACAGCTGAAGGTTAAACGAATTAAAGAGTACAAAAAGACTGTTGTACTAAAAATGCGGAAATTTTGTCAACTTGTATTGTTAAAACATTTTAGGAAATTTAAATTTAATAAGACTTTATGGCAAATATTTATGGCAAATAGAATGTGTTAAAACTGAAGACAAACTGGAATATAATAGGGTCTCATGGAATCTAAACTGGGTTCATTTAATGAGCTTCAAATGAAGTTAAACTTGAACAAAGTGAGTTTCTAGAGAAGCTGAACTGGGACCATAAAATCAGAAGCTGAACTAGCTTCTAAATAAGCTAATCTGGGACTATATAATGAGCTTCTGTAGAACCTAGTCTGGGATTATATTATTAGCTTCTATACAATGCAATCTGGGACTGTATAATGAGCTTCAATAGAAGCTAAACTATAGAAGTTGAAGTGGGACTATATAATGAGGTTCTATAGAAGCTAAACTAGGACTGTATAATGAGCTTCTATAGAAGATAAAGTGGGACTATATAATGAGCTCCTGTAGAAGCTGCACTGGGAACATGAAATGAGATTCTATAAAAGCTAATTTGGGACTATATAATGAGCTTCTATAGAAGATAACTAGGACTGTATAAGGAGCTTCTATAGAAGATAAAATGGGACTATATAATGAGCTTCTGTAAAAGCTGAACTAGGACCATGAAATGAGCTTCCATAAACGATAAACTGGGACTATATGATGAGCTTCTATAGAAGCTAAACTAGGACTATATAATGAGCTTCTAGAGAAGACAAAGTGGGACTATATGATGAGCTTCTATAGAAGCAAAACTAGTACTGTATAATGAGCATCTATAGAAGATAAAGTGGGACTATATAATTCTACAGATATTGATCTGGGACTGTATAATCAGATTCTATAGAAGATAAAGTGGGACAATATAATGAGCTTCTATAGAAGCTGAACTTGGACTATGAAATGAGATTCTATAAAAGCTAAACTGGGACTATATAATGAGCTTCTATAGAAGATAAAGTGGGTCTATTAATGAGCATCTATAAAAGCAAAACTATAAGGGCTATATAATGAGTTTCTATAGAAGATAAATTGGGACAATATAATGAGCTTCTATAGAAGCTGAACTTGGACTATGAAATGAGATTCTTCTATAAAAGCTAAACTGGGACTATATAATGAGCTTCTATAGAAGCTGAACTTGGACCATGAAATGAGCTTCTATAATAGCTAAACTTATAATGAGCTTCTAAAGAAGATAAAGTGGGACTATATAATCAGCTTCTATAAAAGATAAAATGGGACTATATAATGAGCTTCTATATAAGCTAAACTAGAACTATATAATGAGCTTCTATATAATATAAACTGGAACTATATAACGAGCTTCTATAGAAGCAAAACTAGGACTATATAATGAGTTTCTAGAGAAGATAAAGTGGGTCTATATAATGAATTTTTGTAGAAGTTGAACTGGGACCATGAAATGAGCTTCTATACAAGCTAAACTGGGACTTTATAATGAGCTTCCAGAGAAGATAAACTGGAACTATGTAATGAGCTTCTATTAATGGGACCATGAAATGAGCTTCTATAAAAGCTAAACTTATAATGAGCTTCTAAAGAAGATAAAGTGGGACTATATAATCAGCTTCTATAAAAGATAAAATGGGACTATATAATGAGCTTCTATATAAGCTAAATTAGAACTATATAATGAGCTTCTATATAATATAAACTGGAACTATATAACGAGCTTCTATAGAAGCAAAACTAGGACTATATAATGAGTTTCTAGAGAAGATAAAGTGGGTCTATATAATGAATTTTTGTAGAAGTTGAACTGGGACCATGAAATGAGCTTCTATACAAGCTAAACTGGGACTAGATGATAAACTAGGACTGTATAAGGAAATTCTATAGAAGATAAAGTGGGACTATATAATGAGCTTCTGCAGAAGTTGAACTGGGACCATGAAATGAGCTTCTATAAAAGCTAAACTGGGACTTTATAATGAGCTTCTTTAGAAGATAAAGTAGGACTATATAATGAGCTTCTGTAGATGCTGAACTGGGACCATGAAATGAGCTTATATAAAAGTTAAACTGGAACTATATAATGAGTTTTTATAGAAGTTAATCTGGAACAGTATAATGAGCTTCTATAGAAGATGAAGTGGGACTACATATTGAGCTTCTAATCGACAGTAATTTTACCTATACTAAGACTATATTACAAACTTTTTAAAAAGCTTAACAGGGACTATGTTGCGACCCTCTATTGACTGAGATTGTATAATGATCGTCCTTTAATCCTACTTAGCATAACTGGAGCCAAACTGTGCTAATATAAAGACCTTAGGTAGTAATCAAGGTGAGACCAAGTTAGGGATTTATACAGTAGTTTGATTTCATTTAATTTTTGAATAAATTTTTCCTTCTTTCTGTTTAATCAGTTGATTAAACTTTTACCAAATTCCCTCCTTTTCATTTCTCTCTGTGTACCTTTCATTAAACTCATTGATTTCTCCATTTACCAAATCCAACCAGAGTATTTCACTACGAAAACTGACACATGATGAACGTTTTCTAGAGCCATGTTGCAAATGATGTTGTTGATGTTCCTGTTCAATGCCACCATCATTACTGCCTTTCCTCTCGGCCGGTGTTGGTGTTTGTGGAGAATGTTGTTGGGAATTATTGCTGCTACTGCTACTGCCGCTGTGACCACTATGATAACGTGGTATGTTAAGGAAATCCAAAAATTGTGATAATCTCTTGCAACGACTGCTGGGGCAGTGAAGGGAAAAAGGTTTTTGTTGATTTTTTTGTGGAGGAATAAAGAGAGAAAGGAAATAATTGTAGCTGAAAGCTAATTTTGTTTAGATATTGTTGGGTAATTATTTAAGCATGTCTTGCTTAAAATTTAAGCATCAATTTTGTTTGATGTTAAGCTGGTTTTTTGAAGTTGGTAGGTGGGGAATTTTCATAAATATTTAATTAGAAATTTTATTCAGAAAATAAACCACAAATATGTTTTTTAAGAAGTAGCTGAGTATATTACTATTAGAAGTTGGTTATTAAATATTAAAAGCTTTACTTGTCTTTTAAAGTAAAGTTGATGGTTTGTTAGTTATATACAGACATTTAAAGGAATATTTAAATACTTAATATTTTATTGTTTACAAATAAATTATTTATGGTTTTAGCTTACTACGTAATTTTAATCTTTGCCAATCGCTTGTATAGTTTCGCCGCTATATAGAATTTTATGCCGATATCCAGCAATTAATAATAATCATACGCCTTGTAGGGCAGACATTTTTAATTAAGATTTTTTTGAAAAAATAAAGAATTGTAGTCAAAAGTTTATTAGTAAATTATAGAAAGTAAAGTCAGATTAACATTGTTTAACTATAAATGCTAAAAGATTGAAAATTTTCTTAATAAATTAAAAAAAAATTTACATTTTGAATTTAGTACCCAGAAGCTGAGGTTTACTAAGGTTCCAAATGGAAAAGAAGACTTAAATTGTACAATATTTCTCATTACAAATATTGCCTATAGCCTTGACTTTCTACGTCTTTCTCTTAATTAATATCAATCATACGTCTAGTTGAACAAACATTTGAATTACAAATTCTTTAAAGAAAATTTCAAAGATTTTGTAAACGAAGTTTAGGAACGTAAAATTTATATGGTTTTCTTATGAATTTTAATAATTTCTTCAAGAAATTTAATTTGAAAACACAATGCTAGAAGTTAATTGGTTGGAGTTATTAGTAAATTATAGAAAGTAAAGTCAGATTAACATTGTTTAACTATAAAAGCTAAAAGATTGAAAATTTTCTTAATAAATTTAAAAAATTTTTACATTTTAGAATTTAGTACCCAGAAGCTGAGGTTTACCTAGGTTCAAAATTGAAAAGAAGACTTAAGTTGTATAATATTTCTCATTACAAATATTGCTTACAGTCTAAACTTTCTACAGCTTTTTGAATTTTTCAAATATCATTATTAGTTTTGAAGTTATTGAGTAACTTGTATGTCTTCCTCTTAATTAATATCAATCATACGTCTAGTTGGACAAACATTTTAAATACAAATTTTTTAAAGAAAATTTCAAAGATTTTGTAAACGAAGTTTAGGAAAGTAAAAATTGTGTGGTTTTCTTATGATTTTTTTTTCAAATTTCTTCAAGAAACAAACAATCCAACAAACTATTATGAACTTGTTTCAAGGAAAATTTCTCTATTTTGTAGCTAATTTTGTAAAACTATGAAAAGATTCCCTAAATGCTGCAAAATTGTTCTTCTTTATGTCATAATTCCTTGGAAACCTTTACATAAAAACTATTTAACCTTCTGTTAGTAACAAGTCTATTTGCTTTCCCATATATGGTCTTGTTGATAATTGCCTGTAAGTTAATTGGTTGGAGTTGTTCAAACAACTAGTTGTCTTCTTTGACTATTCAGTTTCTTTTATTTTTTCTAGTTTGCCAAGTATTTGAAAGCGAAGTAATCAATATCTAAAAATTATCGTGCTGTAAACAGGAAACATAAGAATATGACATTATAAATATATAAAAGAGTCCAAACATCTGTTTACAAACAGTTGCAAATTAGTTAAGAGTTTTTGTTAAGACTTGTAAGAACAGCAAATAAAATTATTTACTTAAGCATTTATTCTTAAAATCTTTCTGGTATTTTGTAATTTTTTACAGGATTACAAAGTTGGTTCTTTTTTAATACATATTTAAAATTTTATTATTTTTATTTACATTTGGCATTATCTTCCCTGTAAAAATATTTATTTTTAATAATTTTCTCTTAAAAGACTCTTCAGCCACTTTTTTATAAATATCATGTAAATATTTAAAGTCTTTGGGCAAACAATATAAAGATAACCTGGTGGTATTAAGTCATAATCATTTAAATAAATCCTCTTAAAAGCACATAAAATCTACTTTTTAGAACTTTTTAAAATCCATTTTAGAACTTTTTAAAGCGTCTTCCTTTAACTGCGTAGATAATTTCCAGTGTTTTAAAAAATACAAATCTGAATAGTACACATGTCCAATTGAAGTACAGGTTAGGAAATTAAAACGTTGTGGGTGTAAGTCAAACATTCATCTGACAAATAGTGGGCCTCCTTTAGATTAGTAATTAGTTTACTTTGCTGTCAGACTGGAGATTGTGGGTTCGAATCCCAACAAAGATACTGGTAAAGACCTAGGTATCTTTGTTGGGATGTAAAATTACAAATATTTAAAGGTTAAAATTTAATAAATGACATTTTTTCTTCTCGAAAAAAAGAATGTTTTCGAGTCATTGTTATTTGTAAGGCAGACATAACATCGTATTCTTAAGGGACACATACAAAATTATACAAATTAGCATATCTAGCCTATAGTCTAGTCTATAGTCTAGTCTACAGTCTAGTCTACAGTCTAGTCTATAGTCTATACAGTCTAGTCTACAGTCTAGTCTACAGTCTAGTCTACAGTCTAGTTTACAGTCTAGTTTACAGTCTAGTCATAGTCTAGTCATAGTCTAGTCATAGTCTAGTCATAGTCTAGTCATAGTCTAGTCATAGTCTAGTCATAGTCTAGTCATAGTCTAGTCAGTCTAGTCATAGTCTAGTCATAGTCTAGTCATAGTCTAGTCATAGTCTAGTCATAGTCTAGTCATAGTCTAGTCATAGTCTAGTCATAGTCTAGTCATAGTCTAGTCATAGTCTAGTCATAGTCTAGTCATAGTCTAGTCATAGTCTAGTCATAGTCATAGTCTAGTCATAGTCTAGTCATAGTCTAGTCATAGTCTAGTCATAGTTTAGTCATAGTCTAGTCATAGTTTAGTCATAGTCTAGTCATAGTCTAGTCATAGTCTAGTCATAGTCTAGTCATAGTCTAGTCATAGTCTAGTCATAGTCTAGTCATAGTCTAGTCATAGTCTAGTCATAGTCTAGTCATAGTCTAGTCATAGTCTAGTCATAGTCTAGTCATAGTCTAGTCATAGTCTAGTCATAGTCTAGTCATAGTCTAGTCATAGTCTAGTCATAGTCTAGTCATAGTCTAGTCATAGTCTAGTCATAGTCTAGTCATAGTCTAGTCATAGTCTAGTCATAGTCTAGTCATAGTCTAGTCATAGTCTAGTCATAGTAGTCTAGTCAGTCTAGTCATAGTCTAGTCATAGTCTAGTCATAGTCTAGTTATAGTCTAGTCATAGTCTAGTCATAGTCTAGTCATAGTCTAGTCATAGTCTAGTCATAGTCTAGTCATAGTCTAGTCATAGTCTAGTCATAGTCTAGTCATAGTCTAGTCATAGTCTAGTCATAGTCTAGTCATAGTCTAGTAATAGTTTAGTCATAGTCTAGTCATAGTCTGGCCATAGTCTAGTCATAGTCTAGTCATAGTCTAGTCATAGTCTAGCCATAGTCTAGTCATAGTCTAGTCACATAGTCTAGTCATAGTCTAGTCATAGTCTAGTCATAGTCTAGTCATAGTCTAGTCATAGTCTAGTCATAGTCTAGTCATAGTCTAGTCATAGTCTAGTCCTAGCTCTAGTCATAGTCTAGTCCATAGTCTAGTTCATGTCTAGTCATAGTCTAGTCATAGTCTAGTCATCGTTAGTCATAGTCTAGTCCTATGTCTAGTCATAGTCTAGTCATTAGTCTAGTAGTCTAGTAAGTCTAGTCATAGTCTAGTCATCGTCTAGTCATAGTTCTAGTCATAGTCTAGTCATTAGTCTAGTCCTAGTCTAGTCATAGTCTAGTCATAGTCTAGTCATAGTCTAGTCATAGTCTAGTCATAGTCTTAGTCATAGTTAGTCATGTCTAGTCATAGTCTAGTCATAGTCTAGTCATAGTCTAGTCATAGTCTCGTCATAGTCTAGTCATAGTCTAGTCATAGTCTAGTCATAGTCTAGTCATAGTCTAGTCATAGTCTAGTCATAGTCTAGTCATAGTCGTGTCAATAGTCTAGTCATAGTCTAGGCATAATCTGGTATTAAATTAAAGCATTTAAAATACCGTATGAAGTGAGCGTATGAGTGCTATGAATAATTAAATATCACTCATACTAATAAATTTAAAATTATGTTTTTCCTCATTTGAAAGAAGATTTAGAATCGTTTTTTAAGTGTGTTTTACTAACATTGATAAGGTTCTGATGAAGCCACAAATTACATTATTTCCTAATACATATGTGTTTCAATTTGGTACCAATAAACAATTTCTTACCCTTATGAAACCGTTAAGCAATTCAACACAATTTAGGAGTAATGCATCAAGATTTTTATTAGAAACAAGCAAGAGTGTTATATTCGGCCATGCCGAATCTTATATCAAATCATCCTTATAAATAAACTTTGATATTATCGATCTATGTTGAATCATATGTCGATATTATTATGAACATCAGGGAAATATTTGGTAGAGGGAATTTAATAAGGGCTTATGCATGGACCGTGCTCTTCCGAATTAAAAATATTAATTTTGTTTGATCCAATATTTATAACCATAAACTGTTTTTTGTAAGAGTGGTTATATGGAGGGTAGAGTCAATTATGGACCTATCCATGTTGGTTTATACAATAATTATTTGTATCTAATGTAGCTGTACTTGTATCTTTAATTCAGTCATGAGGTTTAAAATATTTATCTGAAGGGAACCGAAAATGGGTGTTTGATTAGTTATCCTCATCAAATTCAGTTGAAAACTTCCAGTCCTATAAAACTCCCGTAATTTGGAAGAACTTTTGAGCCATACATGAGCGTTAAAGTGATTCTCT